GATGCCCGCCATTTATATATCACGACCCATCTCACCTTGACGACCTGTCTCACCGAAGAGTCGTACAATCTTGATCGTACAAGTACCGCCTCCAGCCAATCTCTCCACGACATTCTCAGTCAGGGTTTCTGTGTGGCCCATTCTTCGGCTCATTGCTCTCGAGTTCGTTCAGCCGACGTCGCGCAGACGAGGGACCACTTCATTCCTGTGTCTGACCCTTCGCCTGATTACCGGTTCAACTCTCGCGTCACCTTGGGGTGTTCTGGATTCACTTAGCTGATCCAGTGAGACTCGATTCACTCCAATTGTTGGCCTCTCCTGGTCTACCATTACTTCTGCCCGGGTGTTCCTGCCTACTTTCGTGGCCCCCGAACTTTCTGTCTCACTGTGACCTCACTTTGGTCAGCTCTCAACATTGTGGCCGAGGCCTCTTCTTCCCATTTTTACTCTCTACCTCGCTCCTTCCCTCACACCTCAGTGTCTCGACGACCACACACGTCCCTCTCACAGGATTGATTTCTAAAAAATTCTTCCCCTCGTCATACCAACCACCCGCCTCTCGCGGTTGACTTAACTCATAATACTTATAACCACGTCTCATATCTGGTATGTTTTATTCTTGTCTGCCCAAGTGGCCCTCCTGCCAATCTCACATCCGAGCGCAAAGAACTTACAAAACTCTCTGGAGACCAGACAAACACGCGCAAGTAGCCGTCACTCGACCTCTTTCACCATGCCTACCAGCTTCGACCGCTTGGAGAAGCTCTTCTCCCGGAAAAAAGACTTCTCCGTCCAAACAAGCCCATCAACGCCAACCATGGAGTCATCGGGTCCCAGGACTGCAAGTTTAGACCACAGTTTCCCTCAGCCTTCCTTCATCCGTCCACGAGTCTCCCGCATGAAGGCTAGAGAGGAGCGCATTGTAGCATCACAAAATGAGAGACGTGCCCAGAGCCTCCCGGAAAACCAGTCCGAGCGTATCTCAATACACATTTCTCACCTCAGCAGTGCAAGCACGACAACTCTTACTCTTCCAGCCCGCTCCATGTCGCTCAATCACCGCAGGGAAAGTAAGCCGGTGGCAAGTCTGCGTGGATTCGATTTTCCTTTTCCTCCCACATCCCCATCCCCGGCTTCGCCTTTTAGTGCCACTTTCTCTCCGAGAACCCTCCCCACAACGCATAAAGTTTCCCTCGAGCACCGCCACAGCTCTGTCATCATCCCTCCCAGAGCCGACACCCCACCTACCTCGGACCACGAGGACGACTCAAGCATAAAGGGATCCCAGGGCCGGCCTTCTTCTTCACTCAGCAGAGACCTGCCAACACCTGCCGCATCTCCAGAAATGAGGCCCATCAACGACATGAGATCTCGGGATTCTGCAGAGTTGAGCTTGGCCAAGAGGAAGGCGGCTGCTGCAGCGACAAGACGTCGAAGAGAGGAAAAGGCAGCTGCCTTGCGTCGGCCCCAGGGCCAGTCCAGACCTCACAGATCCATCACTTCATCAAGCCAGATCCTCAAAGGTGGAGATGTCATGGATTTCTTCAACCTCTCCGACGAAGACATCTTGGAAGAGCCAGAGTTGGAGGATACCCCGGAAACCCCGTTTATGCCGGCACCTTTGCGGCTACCACCCTCACCGCCGACCCCTGCCTATACGGTGTCATCGGTCGGTTCCAAGCGACGGACATCTTCTATTCATGCTGAAGACGTCGCCAAAGAAGGAGCGCTGCAGGTTGCCCAGATCGCGGCCAAGCACAAGTTTGACCTTGTATATATCGTCAACTTGTGGCCCGAAGGAACGTCAGAGTCGTCGTCGCCCACGTTCCGCTCTTCTCTGGATTTCTCATCAAGGCCCTCAAGCATGAGAAACTCTCTTCTTGGGCCCATGGACGGACCAACGGTGGACACAACTCCCGGTATGACTGGGCGTCTGCTCGCCGCCTACGGTTTGTCGAACCTGACTAGCCCTTTCCGCATTTCGGCCACAGTTCAGTCCAGAATCTTGAAGCAGGAGGGCTGGATGGAATACCGCAGCGACGACGCGCAGGCGGGCGAGATTGCACGGGGTTACGGCCACGCCTTCCACACGGCCACAGGTCGGAGGGGCTCCGCAAACTCGAGTCCCCGGAGTCCGGGTCCGCAAGACGTGGCCCAGAACGATCGCGGCATTGTCTTTGCCGCCTACCGCTATCCAAGCAAGGACTCACAAACAACCGGATGTACCAAGGAGGAGCTGGACGCATTGCGCGCAGATGCCGAAGGCCTCGTCGATTACCTCGTCGCCATTCACAAGGCTCGACGCCTCCGAGATCCCATGACCCTACAAACCTTGGTCGATGAGGACGCCACGCCTTAATCAACGCCAACGCCAGCGCCACACTTTAAACACGCCGACACGACCGTTTCCTGATTTATACCAACGCGATCAGTGCAACGGATATTAAATGATTACGACCCGTCATTCCCTGACACATTCTTCTTTGGCTGGATTTACACGTTTTTGCAATTCGTCTTTGATATGATACCACATGGAGAGCGTCGTCCTTTATTCGTAACATGGACTTCGTCATTTAGCTCGAAAAAAGGACATTTTCTGTCACATCCAGATAGTTCAGGTGCTAGGCATAAGCATCGAGCGTTGGAAGCGACTTCACAGAGGGATGGCATGGAGAGGATGGGTTCTGAACTAGTCCATCCTGGACTCTTACGTAGCAAGTGGACTCGATCCATAATGAAAATAAAAACTCATGATACCTCAATCCGGTTTTCTCCCCAGCCACACTCGCGGGTCCCTGCTCTGGGCCGAGGCCATATTCCCATGACCGCATGACGAATCCGAGCGTACGCAGTCTTCGGCTTTACCGGCGCGAGTCGTCTTTTTTTCTTTTTTCGACAGCAATCCGATCTTTTGTCTTGATGAACTCTTTTTCCTCATGCCTCAAAGCTATTTTCTCCCCTTCGGCTGACATGGACAGATCAGCAAAGCTCATGAGTCGGGTCTTGATTTTTGGGGGCTGAGCTGAGTCCCATCAGCAGTGGCGCATATAGTAATTGCTCATGGGAGGCCTGACCAATTCGCCCATTCTTTTGGTTCTGGTAGGGCCACTGACAGGTCCCATCATTCCCAGCATCATCATTCCACCATCTGGCAGCGGGCGATTTGCAGTACATTCACTGCTTGGGAGGCTGGGGAACCCCTGGTTTCAAAATATCCCGCGACGCTGGTTGGGTGGGGGTGGAGAGAGAGGAGGGGATAGAGGATCCGGGTCATTTTTGGATCTTGTCTGGCCCAGGCTTTTTTGGACAGTATGGATACTCCAATGGCGATGGGGAGGAGGGAGGCAAAAAAGGCAACGCCGCGACGGCAAAGCATGGTCAGGCATTAAGGAGGTCTCCGTTCGCCATGTGGTTAGAGGGGGAGGTGGCTTATTCAGTTGTGACGATGGTACGCTGGCGTGTGTTCGGGGATGGAGTCGTGGCCGTTGAGAGCGTTGGTAAACTTGGCGCCGATGGGATTTGATTGTCGTTGCGTCAGGGTATTATTTTCCTTCTCAATCCTTTCATTTCTGTGTGACCCCGCCCTTGACAGTCTGGGTACAGTACTATTCACAGTTTCTGATGGAGGAATATGAGGACACCTAGTTGGAGGGATCGTTGGGCCAACTCTGAAAGTCTGAAGGGGCTTGACATGATGTCAGCTGTAGTTCTGACGACAGTCTGACAGAGAGCCGCAAACTCTGGCCGGGAGGGACAGTTGATGATTCGATGCGGCTTTTCTGGAGGGGGGGAACGCGGCTACGTGCGGACGTACTGCACGGGATACTGCACGGCATGGCATCCCTGGGTCTTGTGAACTTTGCCCACCACCCATATTGCCTACATACCTCCCCTGCCCACCCGCTGAACCCCGTTTTGATAGGGTTGCAGTGGATTGGGGGGAGAGCTTTCGAGCTTTCCGGGTGGTGGGAGGGCGATTGCGAACGTTTGGCCGGCTACCCTCAATCTTTTTTACATCCTTGGCAACTACCAGGAAACGGCAGGTTTTCTCAGGTTTAGTAATTGACTTCCTACCAGGCCTTTACCTGACTTCAGCGGAGGAGTAGAGACATGAGAGGTGCGAACTTGTAACCTTTGACTCCCCCCCGCGCAACGGAGAAGGGCAAAATGAGTTCTTGCGTCTTTTGGGTGGATGCGACGGCGGCAGGACGGCACGGGTTGACGTGGTGGACGTGTGCCGGTGCCATGTCTTGATGCCCTGGGCTTACCTTTTGCGATTGTGGCTTTCATTTTTCTTCTGGTTTCCCCCGCCGCCACGCCCGTGCGGATGGCTTTTGGTAGTCAACCAGTGATGAACGGCGTTTGGTACGGAACTACGGAGTATGAGTGCTACCCTTTTCCGCGGCTTACGGCTCGCGGCTCGCGGGCGCGGGCGCGCATGCGTACGTTGGGGGTTAGGAGTAGATGAGGGCTGGGCATGCAGGCCTGGGATGCATCTTTGCAGGGCTAAGTACCTTGTTATCGAAGAAAGCATCTTTGCAGGGCTAATCTGAGGGTACGACCACTTCTTGGCTGCGGCGCGGGCACCGATATGCAGCAGGAGGGGGAAGGCACAAGGGAAAGAAATGAACGCCTGCGGCCTGCGGTGTATTTCGATGACTTTCTCCGCGGCGTGCCTTGCATTAAGTGCGTAAGGTAGGATTCAGTCTTTGTTTCTCGGTGTTTTGATAGCGGGTGGAAGCCGAAGGATGGGTTGCAGTGGTGGTTCTCTGGTGAGCTGTGTTGGTACCGGCAGTGAATCGTGGGTGGGAGGGCTAATGCAGGTTCTGGATCATCAATGGCGGAAGTGAATGTTGGTGATGCTTGATGTAGATCGAAATTCTGATGTGGTTTGACCGTTTGAACAGTGATGGACGGTGGTATTGGACCTGATTTTGAACATGTTTGGTTCAAACCACGAAGCTGTTCGGGTTTCTCTCGTTGTTGACGTTTCTTTTTTCTCAATGTCTCGGCAGAGTCTCGTCAAATCGCCTATCAACAAACCCGAATCCGAGATGCAAGTTGGCGTTCAGGCGTCCAAGAAGGTGGCTGGCGTGCTTTCTTGACATGCTCTTGACACTGCCACGGCTGCAGTGTTGCCCTCCCAAGTCGGCGCTCAGACGTTGACAAGATCGGAACCGATTTTCCGGCTCTCTCGAGGTGAGGTAGGATTGCGCGGGTTGCAGTCCATCATTGGTCTTGCGGGGGCTATTCGCGAGATTGCTACGAGATAGCGTTCTGACTGATCGTCGATGGGTGGCGTGGTTGCCATGATGTTTGTCAGAGGCGGATGATTCAATATCAGAGTGAATGGGGGTTCATTTGAAGATCTGATTTGACCAGCTATTCTACATTAGTCTCAGGGGCACCCTCTATCTGAATGATGTGGGTAAGAGCACTGGCGACGGTGCGATGAACAGCTCCGGTGGCGGCCAACGTCAGGTTGAGACGTAATGATGCCATTGGACGAACTGGACGATGATCTGAAGTGTCAGAAACACCCAGCCGGCTCCGAAGGTACGTTTATGACACTACATCCGGCGCCGGCGTGGGACGAAGAGGAGGCCACGAGGCGTATGGGAGAGGCGTTTTGCCCGTTCAACGTCCGGGCGCGCAGGCGGAGGCCGTCTCGAGTGAGTTGAAGCCAAGTTAGTAGGCTTTAGTGGACTAGGGGAAGCGTGGCTAGAGCTTCCGGAGCCGACGCTAGACTTGAGATGGTTTGAATATCAACGTCCGGGTTTCAACTGCGAAACGCAACTAAGGCGATGATCGAATTTTGATGGGAGGGGAAGGGGAAGAGACCTTTGCGAGCAGGGTAAGTGTGATGCAGTTGAATATTGAGACACTCTTCAATGTATACTAGAATTAAACGGGCAAGGATGTCATGGAGGAAAGAAAAAGAAGAAGGCGAGAATCAACTACTCACCACATTTTCTGTGTTATCGGGCACATACGTAGAAAACAACTATCACGACGTCTCTACCCAGTGCTCCAAGAATTCTCTCATTGATCCAAGCTCTTCCAAGCCTCAAACACTTTGGGCGGCATACAGCTCTCAATCTTATTGCGAGCCTTTGCGATAGCTTCTTTCCTCCACCCTGACGATGAAGTTCGCAACACACCCCCAAGGGCAGTGTGGCAAGCTAGTACAGTGCTGAACATGGCCTCGTCATTATCCTCCCCCAAGGGAAACCATCCACCACCCTCCCCAAGGACTTTAATCATGTTGGCTAATGCCTCAGCCAAACCTCGACCCTGAAAAGCATCGGTCACACAGTTCCTATCCCAAGTCTTCGTGATAGTGTCGAAGAAGTGAGGAAGCGGGCTCCATTTCAGATCTACTCCAGGTGTTACAGTTGGAGAAGCTCCTTTTGTGATTAGCCATTTGGCGTTACGAACTAGGGCTTCATTGCTGTCTTCGTTCATGACAAAGGCCCTATATTCGAAAGCGGCGACCGTCGCATGCAGCGCAAGCATTCCAATAGTGCAAGTCGTGACCTCGGAACGATCATCTTTTACGTCCATGTCTGAATAAGCCGAGGATTCAGTGTTAACGAGGTCAGTATCGTACGCATGTTCTATTACTTTAGACCCAACATGAAGATCGACAACCTCTTGAAGATGGATTTTTGACGTGTACAAGAAGCTTGCAAGAGTGGAGGTCTCTAGCGCTGGAAAATTGCATTGGCATGTAATCAAGAAACAGTCGAGGATCTCTTGATCAAGAGGCGCAAAGTGTGGTTCGTGTTGCGCGATGGTGTCCAACAAGATGAGCGGCATCATCTTGTTCAGGCCCTGTGCCAGAGGAGTGCCATAATCCTGGCGCCAATGTTCGGACCTCGCCGTTGAGAGTGATTGTCTCAGCCTGGAGACGATCTTCCCTTCGGTTTCTGAAGGACAGTACCAGGCGCCTCCCGGTTCTGAAAAGAGATAACGTGCCGCGTTTGACTTTGCCACGTTTGATGAGAATTTGAACATGTCAGCTGCCACTTCCCGTGAGAATACTTCAAAAAAGTTGAGTGTCGCATCGGTCTTTTCCATGGCCAGAGCATATTCGAAGGCGTGATTGTAGTGAACATCAAGCCTGTCCGGCGTGAAGGACCGCTCCGGGTTCGCCCCGAGATGTCGCAGGAGGGCCACCGAGAGCTTATTACGCGCCGTTATTGCGTAATACAACGGCGTCGCACCACTTTCCACCACGACTTCGTCAACATCCACTCCCACACAATGCACGAGCTCTTTGATGATGGGCCCATTGCCGGAAAAGGCAGCGGATTGGAGTGCGGAAACCACCACCGCTGGACCTCTATACTCTGTCGGATCCAACCCCCTATAGGCGCTGGCAAAGACCTGGTTGGAACGAGGATACTTTGGCGAAGTATGGCCCACGCTTACGACTCGAGACGAAGCGCCGCGGGAGAGCAGCAGACGCGCGACGGGGATTTTGTGGTTGCAAATAGCAACGTGTAGGGGCGTCCAGGCCGGTACGGCTTGCCCCATCAAGTGGCGAATCTGAAAGGTGCCTGGGGGTATACACCGGCACAGAAACCTCGCCGGCATTTCCATATCGACAGAGTGATGGTCCAATAACCACTGGACGGTATCGTAGTGCCCGCCCTTTGCGGCGAGGTGTAAGGGCGTCGCGAAGCATGCTTTCGACAGCGCGACCTTGACACCGTCATCGCTTGGAACCTCTCGGCGTTTCCACTCCTTCCAATAATTTACTTTTACCCAGTCTTTGAGGCACTGAGGAGCATTGAATGAATAGACTTTGTTCAAGTCGGCACCGTGGGACGCTATGCGCTGGAGAGTGGCCAGGTTCCCAGTCGCGGCGCTCCTGGTGATGATGTCGGTATTGCCATCGCGTATCGCTGCCAGGTATACTTCTTCCTGGACATTCATGTTGAGCTTGATGCTGACTTGCGCGAGCGCGGCGACGGTGCAACTATCTAGGTAGCTGCAGATTTGTAGCCAGATTTCGGCAGGAAATCCCGCGCGCGGTGTAATTGACGACATGGTGGTCGTAAGTGTGGGGTGTATGCTGTGATCGGTGGTGTGAGAGGACGATCAATTCGAGGGCTTTTTGTAAGCTGCCTTTCTGAGGATGATAAGAGGTCTTTCAAAAAGCTCAAAGACACGAATATGAGGCGAAAATAAGGTAATTATATACTTCCGTGCAAATCATCAGGGTAACCACCAAGGAGAACCTGGAAGGAACGAGGAGATAGCTCAACATTTCTCCTTCTCCATTGACTCTCCTTACAGACAATCTCAAGAATTCTGATGCAAAGAATATTTGCGCAGCCGGAAAAGACCTCTGAAAATGGTTTCCCAAGGGACTCTCCGGGTCGTCGTTGAAGTTCGGCCCCGGCCTCCTTCCGGAAGACTGGCCCCACCGAACCGTTCTCGTCTTCCGGACTCCACTCCTACGGGCCGCTAAATCTACCACTGAAAGTACATTCTCCGTGTCTCATCAGGCTGGCGACTCATAAATTGCGCTTGAAAGTATTGCGTACAACTGGAATGAAGCTATAGGCGTATCATGGCAGGTTCTTCGCGTGAGAATGAAGACTAGCAACCTTTCTGGTGCGCGAGAGACAGCACGTTCTTTCGACCTATTCCAAACCCTGAGCTATTGCTGAGCGACTCACTGTTTGAATTGACGATCTTACAGTCGCTGTAGGGAGAGAAGGAGGCGGCGATGCCTCCCAAGCTTTCGTACGCCGACCATGCCGGTCTTGTACGCCGTTCGTGACCCACCCGGCGAAAAATACCCACATCGCCGATGACCGGCGCCGCACCGCCGCGGCGGCCAATGCCTCCCATCCGCCCAAGCTTTCGTATTTTATTCCCGAAATTTTTCGCGCCAGTGAACTCAATTGAACCCTGGCTCGAAAGAGATAAGAAAAACGCCCCCAAATTTCCCTCACCGATAAGATGAGTAAACGCGAAGGATCAGATATGCTATGAGCTACTGGGTAAGTTTGATTGCTGCAATCAACAAGATAATCCCTCGTCAGATAGCTATATTGGAACTTTGGAGGTACCTGAGGTACCTTAGGTGAGTGACGGCACAATGCTACATGGGGCATCCCTTCGGTCACGCCGCCGGACACTAGTCACGGACTGCGACCGACTCAAGGGATGAGCGGGCACCGGTGGAGAACAAGCCTTAATTGTCGCAAGAGAATCCAGGCCCGATCACGCAACGTTGACGAAGGGGTCTTTTTTTTCGTCTATTCAAGCTTTCCCGGCGTCGGAGTCAAGTGCCGCCTTGCATACCGGATCTTCCGGATGAGCACAGCAGCTCACTTAGTCACTCTTGTCCTTTGACTATGACATATTCTCTAGTCGCAACGCTACATTCGCATGTGAGCCTCTGGAAAACCCTGGGAATAACATGCGGATAAGAAATCATGCCCATCGCTCAAAGTTTCATGATGCAGGACAAACTCACAGGGTTCAACCCGTTTTTCCCGGATGTACATGGCACCTGGCGGTAAGAGAGGTTTTCACCACCTACGAAGTAGTTCCACGCCGGTTCATTAGTGTTGGCCCAAAAAAAAAACCATCCGACGTCATGACAGGCGATCCCTCCATCCCAGGTTACAAGTAATCTATTTTACCACGAGATACTTTTTTCTTCACACAAGCCGAGGAACAAATGGCTAATGGCTGCCAAAGTGAGACCACGTTCCCGCCGCTAGGGCCGCCGACGCAGGCATTCCGCGTTGATCGGTTGACGGGGCGGCCAACATACTTCAGCCGCCCGATGTCCGGAGAGCTGAAAAGGCTGACGTTCTGTCACCTTCCTTCCGTCCCATCTCATCTCATCTCATCTTATCTCACTTTGCGGTTACATACGTCAGATAACACACTGCTATAAAGTCACCATTCATCTTTCAAATCGTAGACTACCATCTCACGCGATTGAACAAGGCCAGTAATTAAGAAAGCGCAAATTGATACGGGTACAGTGGCCGGATAGTTTGAGCTACATACACGTCTACTGTGAAAGCAACCTCATAATGTCAACCATAAACGCCATCCTCACATCTTTACAACCAACAATGACACCGCCACATCTCCCACCCTCGCAAAGCTGTCATCCCTTCATGACACTCCCCCTCGAGCTCCGCCTCCTCATCTGGGAAACCTTCAGCTCGCAACCCCGCGTCTTCGAATACCGAGAAGACACCCACCTCATCAAGCCGCCCCGCGAGTACCGCCACCCCCGTGCCGCCGCCCTCATCACAAACGCCGAATCGCGAAAAGCAACCCGCGCCCTTCTCCGCCCCTTCCCGCACCCGTACGACGTCCAAAAGGACTCCCGTCCGTCGCCACCGCCGTCCCTGGAATTCGTGCCCTCATCGGATATCATCTACCTCCCACCGCTCGTCTACCGCACGCGGCTCGGCGCGTGGGACTCACTCTGGACCACGAAGCCGGGTATCGAGAATGTAGGGATCCACTGGTCCGTTCTCCTCGACGAGCGGCGTATCGCGGAGGCGTTGCGGGCTTGTTCGCGGTGTTTCACCGATATGAGGAGGCTGTCCGTCTTTATCGAGTTCAAGCCGCTTCCGCAGCCGGAGGATGAGGTTGGGAATGGCGGGATTGTGAGGTTGTTGGGTCCTGCGGAGGATGAGTATCGCTTGCCGAGTTTATATGCCGAGGCGCATGGGTTGATGGATGAGTTTTGGACGTGGGGGGAGTTGAGGACGGCGCTTGGGAAGGTTAAGAGGGCGATGAAGTGGACGCCTGAGATTGAGGGGGTGTTGTACACCAGGGAGATGGAGGAGGCGTCTGCTTTTTGAGATGGGATGGGATTGGTATTTTGATGACTTTTGTCTCATCTGAGCTGGTCATTTCGACAAGGAAGTTGGGCTGATGCGAGGCATGCCCTGACAGAGGATGTAATATTTTGAGCATTTATCAGGGTTCAAGTTCAGCATACGGCGTCATGATCGAGCGAGGGATTCACAGCATTTCAGCGGGCTTGGAGTATTTCATGACAGGTCTGATATGAACCTGCTAGCTATTATTGAATGAGATTTTGAGTCATTTTGAGCGTATTTGGAGACTTTCCCGTGTGTGCAATTTTGTGAAAAGTAGAAGATAACGATCATGTTGCTCTCTTTCACTATAAATTACATCTCATTACATTTTCGAGGAATTCAACTTCCAGAGCCCTGTATACCTGGGTATCGTCTACAACTTATTCGTACATCTCACTTCTGCCTCGGCTCACGCCGTTGAAATAGGGTGCTCGTGGCCGCAACCTCCTTCAAGCTCAGATCCACGCCCGTAGAGCTCTGAGAGCCTCGAGGCTCGTATTCATGATCACCTTAATCTAAATAACCTCTTCTCCAACATCCCTCACACCCTTCCTTCAACCTCCCACTCATCCTAGTAATAGTCTCCATCTTCTCACCCCGAATTCGACAATGCGACAAGCTCGCCATTCTCCAGTCCCTCGACTCTGGTGTCAAGCTCGAGCGTAGACTCAATCCATGCGTATCGTTGTGCTCCTCTGTATCCTCCACTTCAATCTCCTCCATGCCACTTTAAAGGGCCTCCTCTTCGGTCTCCTCTTCGGTTTCTTCATCCCACACTTCACTCTGCTCATAATCGACACAAGTATCTTCGTCGATAAGACCGTGCTGCCTCAGCACCTCCTCAACCTTGGGCCTGTCAGACCAGTCATCAAACGCATCGCGAATCGCGAAAGCCCACTCTGGCGCGGTTTCCGGCCTCTCATGTAAGTCGCGGACACACATCTCCCACGCCTTGTATACTCGAACAACTCCTCCGATATCATCCTCTCCGCACGGGATCCACGCTCCCTTTTGCACCAGAAGACGGACAAAAGGGCCGATTGAGCCCAACACAAAGGTCAGCGGCTCCGATTCTCGCGGATGGCCCACCGTGATCTTCTTCATCAGGTAGACAAGGGGGGTGAGAGACGGGTCCGGATCGGTGTCTCGCATGCCGATCGGGTTCGCGCCCTGGGTCATCAGCCAGTTTAAGGTCGTCAGGGCCCGCCCCTGATAGTCCCAGTCCATCACACCAATCGTAACACAGAGAGCGAGCATGCCGAGAGAAGAGCCCGATAAACGGTCCTGCTCTTTGTCGGGAGGCATAGTCAAGGGAAAAGTTGCGCGCCATAAGCCGTTCCGCTCCGCAAAGCTCCATCTGATGAACTTCAAGAAGGGGCAATCCTGCTCCAAAGTCACTTTGTCTCCGAAATCCAATACGTCCATGAAAGGGCGAAGGATATCCATACAGTCGCGATCGACGCCACAGGAGACCTCGCAGACGAAGAGAAAGGTCGACTGAAGTTCTCCTACAAGCGGGGCATATTCCGGCCGATGCGTCCGTTGGGTCTCCCGGATGAAGTCCGCGACGACTTGAGCGAACGAGTCGAGAACCGAATTACAGTCGGGCTCGGTTGTATCAATTATCGCTGGCAACAACAGCTTTAGCACTGATTCTTTGGGGCCGTTGTCTGCAGAAGCGGTCCAAAGGCTGTCTCCCAACGTCATAAGCTGCTTGGCGGCCTCGATATGACCCTGAGCGATGGCAAATTCGAGTGCCAGCGTCATGAATGAGTTTCCATGTTGGAAAAATATCTCCACATTGGCCCCGAGGCTGAGCAAATGTGACACAACGTCTCTCTCCGTGTGTACATTGCGCTCTGAGGGACGATACTCGCAGGCGTATTGTATCGGCGTGGCGTCTCTGTTGTCAGGACTGTCTACCGAGAGGCCCAGGTTCTTGACGAGATCGGTCATCACCTCCAAGTTCCCAGCACGAGCCGCATCGTGCAGGGCGTTATGTGGCCTCGAACTTTGCCGGGCATCTGCTAACCAGAACCTCGCCTTTCTGGCGGGTGGTGAAACGAATGGGCATGTTTCCGCGCCCGCTTCCGAATCCCAGAAAGGGGACTTTCTCATGGCGTACTCACCCTGCAACTGAGTTGTCAGAGATGCTCCGGCGGAAAGCAGGAGGCGAGCGACGGAGCTGTGTCGCTGGCACAGGGCCACATGTAAGGATGTGCGGGCAGGGCGACAGATGGAGGGGAAGGAACGGCCCCTTGCCCTCTTCCCGATTGGCATACAACTGCATAGGCTTCTCCCGGGGCCATCGACATCGACATTCTGATCTAAGAAGCCACTTGACCATCTCATAGCGGCCTCCTGCGGCAGCCTGGTACAGCGGGGTGCCCCAGGTCGTCATCCTGTCCAGATTTCCGTCGCCCCTGGGACCCCCCCATGGTAGTGGTGCCACGGGATACGCCTTGGCAATATCCGCGCCGAAGAGATGAGCGCGTTTGAGAGTATCGAGATTTCCAGTCTTCAAGGCGTAAGTGACGCAATCCGACGCGTCATCCCGTATACTCTGGAGATACAGTCTGCGATTGAGTATGTCGTGGAATCTGTGGTTGACCCGTACCAGGCGTGCCCTATCGGACTGAGAGACGTAGCTGCTGACAAGCAACCATAGCTCCGCTGGTAGCTCGTCAGTCGACATCATAAATCCTCTCAACGCGATGCGAATATGGATCTAGCGTCTAAGTCGATGGGGAGAGCTGCGATGAGACCGATGAGTACCCTATTTTTACCCATGTTCTGGGACCCTCTCCTGCACGAAATTGCAAGTGGGGTGTGGGCAAAGCCACACACCGCCACAGTGCGGTCATGGGCCGCGAGAACCGCTTTCCACTCGTATAGTCACAATGCAGGCATTCTGTAACAATTAGAGATTGATTGTCAGTTGGAGGGGCAAATCAGGTACTTATCGACATTTCTTTCTCATCTTGGCGAATGTACGTTTCTGGTGTGTATTGGTGACCGCGTTGGAGCTCGACGATCGACAGGGTGATCCACGGGCAATGATAGAGTAGCATCTGTTCGGATATGCCCCAAGGACTGGGGTAAGAAGGGCTTCCCTCCGTCACAGCCGGTGCCGATCCGGACGAGATCGGGGGCGTGTTCCGGGACGAGCTCTATCTTGTGCCTGGTATCCGGTTCGGTGATGATATCCAACAAATTTAGCCCACGTTGAGGGCCGAAGCCTTCGACTGTCATATTGGAAATGCATCGCAGCATGAGACTTGCTAAAACGATCAAGTCCCACCGATCCAAGTCTCCTTTCCTGCACATGCCAAGTGCCCCGTATGAATTGAGGCGGAGTCTCACTCTCGGTGGCACGATTCCTTTCGGTGACGGATGTCCGTATTTGGCACCTAAGAAGAAATGTGAGATGGGCGGGAATTGCATCATGAGAGATCGTTGACATATGGGTTGTGAGAGGTTAATGATTCTTGATTTAATCTATGATGCATAAAGGCTTGGATAGCGAGTGGAGGGCCAAGTCCCCAGCAATACAGCCTGGCAGCATCAATCGCCGGCGATACTCCTCTCTCACAGGAAACCGAGGCTATCGGCGTCTCAAGGCCCCGCGGGACGTCTACCAAAGCTCACATGTAGGCTGTCTTTGGGGGCAGTTGAAAACGCTGCGGAAGTCCTTCGAGTTGTCCAAGGGCCCTTTGATACGAGCGAATCCTGGAGAGTGCACGTCGGCCCCAAGCAGGTAGACATCGTACACCTTCGAAGACGACACGTCGCACCAGTTTTGTGCCCATTTCAAGAAGAAAATCTGGTCATGCGAGAAACTCTGCAGGCCAGGCAAGTCGAAATCTTGAGACTTCTTGTCTGACTGCAGTTTCTTCCACGCCGCATAGCTTGTCGCCACACCTCCGGCATCTGCTATGTTTTCACCAAGCGTGAAGTTACCTCGAACGGGAACATTCGTACCATTAGGCGCAATGACCGTGAATTGCTGATACTGGTTGGCGAAGCATTTGGTACGATTACTGAACGCCTTGAGGCTCTGCTCATCCCACCAGTTTGTGAGAGACCCGTTGGCAGCGTAATTGTGCCCGCTGTTGTCGAAGCCATGGGTGAGCTCATGACCAAGAACGGTGCCAAGTGCGCCATAGTTAACATATGAGGGATAAGCAACATTATAGAGGGGTTTTTGCTGGATACCAGCATTGATGACAATATCGTTGAAGGTTGTAGAGTAGTAAGCATTTGTTGTTGATGGGGTTTGCAGCCAAATGTTCTTATCAGCAGGCTTGCCAAGCAGAGCCCACAGCGACTTGCTAGAGAAAGTGGCAAACGCAAGGGCATTGTCGAAGTAGGAGTCGGTAACCTTGAGCCCATTATAATAATCTGCAAGCTTGCGTGGGTTTGTGGTGTCCGGAGACACGTCGGGATAACCAATCTTTTTCGAAATGGCATTGACCTTCACTTCGGCCTCTTTCTTGACTTCGGATGTTAACCAGTCCTTTTCGCCGAGGCGCGAGATAAAGGCCTGCTGGATCGTGCCCATCATGTTGATAGCCAGATCACGAGCTTCGTTCGAGTATGCCTTATCGAGGTAGAATCGGCTCAGAATCCAGCCGAGCCCGGCAGGCAAGCCACTCCATGGGACACCCTCATCCACATGACCGACGCATTGCTGCCATCTCGGTGGCTTGCCAACTAACTCCGGATCTGTAGCGCGAAGCTTTGATTTCAAGTCGTTCAATCTTTCCGTGACATCTGTCTCAACGAAGTTGGAGAAGGTGGATACTGTTTTCCAGATGAAAAATCCTTGGACCGTTTCGACAGAGGTGTTGGCGAGAAGCTGAGATAGGTTGCCAAAGTAGGCTGGGGAAAACACAAGTTGATCCGGCGTATAGTCCGCGGGAATCAAGTTGTTGATGACAAAATCATGACCAAGTTCTGGGGCCACGCTTGTGACCTCTTCCAACTTGAACTTCCTTGCTGGTGACTTTGGTGGCTATCAGTTCCTCGGTCAGACTTAAAGGTCAGGGTATCACTCACAGTTGGGCTTGCTTTGCTGTCATCAGTGGCCTGCAAAGCGACCGCGTCCTTCTCAAACTTAGTGACGGCTAGAGCGAGTCTCTGAGCATTCATAACATCGAGTTTCGCCGGGTGTACTGCCTGAAGAAGTGCTGCCATAATGCGCTCATACTCCGCAACGGTATCATTATTCCTGGCTACGGAACCTGTGAGCAACGGCGTGCCTCCGGGGACGACGGATATGAGTGTCTTGTTCTGCTTAAAAATCAGTATGCATCCATAGTGGCGGGCTCCCAGGTCCCAGATCAACATACCGTATTCTGGTCATCAAAGTCAACAGTGACGGACTCGAAAGTAGAGATGCCGAGTTGACCAAAGAACAGTAGTGTCTTGCCCATGTTTTTAGCATCATTCTTCGAGATCTTGCGTTCCTTGTCCTCTGTAGTATTGGCCACAGGAAAAGCCTCCGCGACACGGTTGACGAGATTGATGAGAGGACCCAAGCCTGCAGCCTTGACGGCGGTGTCATTGAGGCAAGCATTGTATGTCTCCACGATCAGCTGAAAGTTGTCCCGATCCACGCCTATTTGCTCTTGAGACAGTGACGCCGTGATAAATCCAGCGTTTGGTCCACTGGGGTAGGTGCCTTCCACGATGTTCTTCAGCACTATCGAGACATCACTCCCGACAATACCCAGCGATGAGGCCTTTCCTTGGCCAGCCCCAGGCGCATGGGTTGCTTTCCATCCAGAGCACGCATCTGCCAAGAAAGTGTATTAGCCAACCAGAGTCATGCAACGTGCAGAATCCGCAGCAGTGTCGAGTAGGAAAACAACGGAAAAAGATGTGAGACAAGGATCCGAAGCTTGGGCGCGGGGAAACTAGAGCTGGAGGCAATGCGAGTGGGGGAAACAAAAGGCAATTGGAGTCCTGCGACGCACATTTGTCAAAGTCTGTGCACGGATCGATGTCGGTATGGTTCGGCGCGAGACTCATGAGAATGTTTGAGGCGATCTCGAGACAGATCGGTGTGGTGCAAAGGCTGCTGCCATCCGCGGCCGCAGTGAAGGGGGCCATTCTATCGACTGTCGAGCAGTATTTCGAACGTCCTCACAGAGCTAGCATCACAAGTCAGCGACAAGACTCTTGGGCAGTTGAAGTACTTGATAGACAGACCTTGGGATGAAGAAGCGACCTGACTAGCCGGACAGGGAAGCTGAGACGCTTGATACTGGAACCAGAAGCGCCTTTCACCGACAAGCTGACACCCAAATTAAAGAGAGAGGAGAAAGCTAGCGAGGATAGGTTGGAGCCGGTTCATCCAGTGTGGGTTTGGGGATGGACTGATCCCTATATATAATGGCTTGCAAGGAGAGAAGAATATACTTTTCCTGCAAACCCTTTTTGGTCTAGACGATGTCGGGCATCGAGAACCATAGAATACAGTATAAAGATGCCAAAAGCGGTGACTAGAGGGCGGCGGTGGTGTGGTGTCGTCGATGTCGCAGAAGAAGAAAGGCAGCGAGGCGTTGATCCAGTTTTCTTCACGCAGCCCGAGGGTAACCCCAATAGACCAAGTACCTGCCCTTTTCACCTGTCTCACGATCTTCACTGCCTCTGGCCAAGGCAGAGTCCAGCTACTTGGACCTTCCTAACCCATCCTTAGACGTGCCGGAACATCGCAGCCTGCAGGCGAGGCTGCCTTGTTTCCTGCCAAGACTGCCATTTGCCAAAGTCAAGCCAACCCCAGTTCGTTGACACATCGGAACTCTATGTGGTGACGAAGTCGACTCGGCGGATGTTCAGATGTGCATGCGGCGAAGGCAAGCATTGCGGAGAAAGGCAGCACAAAAGTGCCGCTCGCCAAGGATCGGGGACTTTCGCAGAGTAACCTCCGAAGTGACATTTCAGCCGCGGGATGCCGATCCTGACTCCCTGTCCCGTATCCCCCGCGTATCTTAGCTTAGCTTGCTCTCTCAAGTTGAGTGGCACGACGTCGATCATCTATGAGCGTTTTTGCACAAGCATCGCTCGCGGTTTGAGACTGCCAAATGGACTGGCTCGACTGGTAGCTTGGCCTGCCCAGAACGGACAGCTGGAATATTGGGCTGATATGTGGCTGCGAGTGAGCTTCCGTCCTGACTACCCCAAGCTGTTTTCGTAATGCCATGCGGACGCACGTGTATCCCAAAAGCCGACCAGTTGGTTAGCGCGGTGGGCAAAAGAACGGCGCGATCTATTTCTGAAGCCAGCTGGTACTCTAACAACTGCAGTGAAGGCTAGCATAACCGCTGTTCACCCCCAGCCGCGGAGTTCCAAAGATGAAAGTCGGCGATCAGGCTACGCCAGGATCTCATACCGCGAACCGTAGGAAGAATACCACTTGGCAATCATGTTGGCAGCGCCAAGAGCCTTCGCATGACTGTTAAGCAACGGCCGACTCTCGGCAGGCCTGCATTTTGACTTCCTCAGAATAGCCTTTTAGCATGAACCTAGCGTCGAAGGCTAGAACTTGCGCGAAGGGTGCTTCACAGGGGCTCTGGAATGTGCAGCGATTCGTTGGGTCGCTAGGTATTCTCCCCCAGGATCCAGTGGGACGAACGAAAACCTTCGACGAAGACCGTTTTCGAAAACGAATGCGGCATGAATATTTGCAGCTTGCCACGCCGTCAAGAGCACACGAGGCCAGACGATGGCGTTCCTTGGTGGCAGAGCCTCAAAGTAACCTAGTATTACCGTTCCTGGCGTGGAAGCACAATGATACCTAGATCCTTCATCCGGGCAGATGGGTCGATACTTGGTATGAGAAGGTCTGTACTAAATGCGGCTGGAGCCATTCAGCCACTGCTGCGAGTCCAAGATTTTGGCGTTGCTGCTCATCCGATATTGGCACTTGTCATATCCCACGATCTATAGATCTACAGATCGTGGGACAGACGCGATTGGATGGAATCTGACAAGGCATAGGTATCACAAAACTCTTGAAGGTAAGGCAAAATGGGTGAAATTGAGAATACGCAGCGGAAGATGTCGAAGGAGGAGGGGCAGCTGGGCACGTGCTTGATGCCTTAGGGTGGCCTATGCGCACCTTACCTCAGCAAAACAGCACAGACCACATCCAAAAAAGACAAGTGGGGAGACCCCCGGAGGCAATGCCCCGCAAGCTGATCAAGCCACGTTCACCCTTTGGTTTCATGCGCCACAATGACGTTGATGTCAGTCAGGCCTGGTTCCTCGGGGAGGCGATACCTCAAGCGCAATCTTTCACTCGATCACCTCAAGCCTGCAGCCCTCTCCTTCTCCGTTACTGTGAGGTTTTTATCGCTACTATACCATCTAGAACCAGCCTCTTGTACCTCTAGTCCTACCGATCATCAAGATGGCGAACACTGGCGCCCCTCCAAACTACTGTAAGCTTCCCTCCAATACCCCACTATAGCTATCGAGCTGCGACTAACATTGTGCCTAAAGACAAGATCCTTGAGATCTCGGAGGCGGCTACGACCCAGCAAGTTCGCGATGCATACAAGAAGTAAGTGATCAAGATACTGAGTCCAAGTTCCCTCGAACTGACCTTTACTTTCCAGAGCCGCCTTGAAGACACACCCAGACAGGGTCCCCGCCGACTCACCCGAGCGAGCAACGCGCACTCGCAAGTTCCAGCTCGTCAACGACGCATACTACACCTTGTCCGACACGCAAAGACGCCGAGAATACGACGCCCAGCGAAAGATCTTTGGCGCATCCGCCGGTACAACGTACGGCGACTTTTCCGACGACGACTCCGACCCAGAGGAAGTACCCCCGCAGGCCGGCCCCAACCCGCAAAATGCCTACTCGTGGGCATGGAACTTCTTCACAGGCGGGAAGCAGGGTCAACAGAACGAGGGCCAGCGTGCGCAGGCCGACAACGCACAGTTCGGCGATGTATTCGAGGAGATGTTGCGCGAGGAGGGCATGGCCGAGGAGGGTACCAACCGCCCGACGAGCTCGTTCTGGAGCATGGTAGGCGGTCTTAGTGGTGGCGCGCTGGGCTTCATCGTCGGAAATATGCCTGGCGCATTGGCGGGCGCTGTCGCTGGAAACAGGCTTGGCTCTGTTCGAGATGCGAAGGGCAAGAGTGTCTATGCTGTTTTCCAGGTCAGTGCGAATCTGGAGATATCTACCGGGTAGATCCCGTCAGCCTCTCTATCCAGATTGTCTTGCAAGGTGGATCTGTACTGACATGATGCAGGACCTCCCCCAGGCAGATCGCGCGAGGCTGCTTACCCAGTTGGCTGCCAAGGTGTTCAGCCATACTGTAGGAGCTTAGGGGATTTTGGGATTTCAGATAGGTTCAGGATGATATCACATGGGCAGCTCGGAGTTTTGGGTTCGGTCAAGATCGATATGAATAGGTAGCTTCACCAGGCCAACTTGGCACTTTGGCATCAATACACTAGATAGCTTTTATCCCTTCAAAAGTGTTGCCTGTCGTTATGAGTGTGACGCGTTTGTATAACATAGCTCGACGAACCTTTCCTCCATTTGAATCAACATGATCCATGATCGGAGGGACACTACCGTAACTGACACCTTGGCAATCACTGACTAGCATCTCACCAATTCCACCGTCAGTCACATTTCCACCGGTCTACACGAGCCATTGCCTACGCAGTAGATGGTGTCCGCGGCTCCGCAGCTGTGGATGTGCGTAGCGGGGTGAAGCGGGGTGATGGTGCATTATAAGCAGATCCCCGCTCCTGGACCCCAACAATCAGTCACTAGTCAAGGTGCCAGAGTGGTTAATGGGCTGCCCTGCTATCATATCTTGATTCCAGATTAGGCAGTGGCTTCGGTCGCGCAGGTTCGAATCCTGTCCTTGACGCACTAAATGTTTTGCTGTTTGTATGTGTCTTTGCGTCGCCTGAGTTTATGTTGTGTTTTTTGATTGCTTTTGAGGATGTTTAGAGAAACAGCGAACACCAGGCAAATAACCTTCGATACCTACTGCACTGTCCCCCTAATGTCCGAGCGGCAGTGTCCCGGGGCCGGCCCGTCCCCTACCCCGCACACTCTGAAAGACCAACGTGTTACGGTCCGAAGATCGCCTCAAGTCAGGTTTCGATGGTATGAAATGTCTTTATTACTTATCTTCGGTTGCTAGTCGAAGTCCTAAATACTTCCCCTTCGCTGCATCTGGATGCGCTCCGGGATCTTCTTCTCATTCAGAAGAGAAACCATCATCTGCGGGAGCCCATCGCTGATAGACGCCACGGGTTTTGCACTCAAGAGATGCTGAGAGGGCTTTGTGTACTGCGCATCAATTTCAACGTCCCAAGGCTTCTGACTCGGCGCTTTGTGGCGATACTCCGGCGGTACCCCTACCTTCTGGGTGAAAATTGGTTTAGTACTTGGCTGTAATTGCTGACCCGAGCCAACGAGCTTGGCCATCATCAAGACCCAATTGAGGAGGGCAAGTGCTACAACTTCAGACACCTTGAACACGTGCTGAGCAGTGACTATGCCAAGGGACCGGATAGACTTGTCCAAGACGCTGTGATTGTCGCCCTCATTGACTAGCGTTTCGTCCCCCGTGGAGAATTCGCTTTCGTTCTCTACCGGCGACACTTCATGTTCAATCTCTACCGTGGCAGGTTGATGGAGATACTGCGTCAAAACATCAACACCAGAGTCATCCACCTCATCAGATTTGTCGGAAAGTATCTCTGTCGAAGAGGTCACCTCTTCGAACGTCGCTGGCATAGGCGGTGGCATCTCTACCGGGGTAGTATCGTGGTTCTCCTTTTGCATCGCCATGTTCAGCCCGTGTGCGATGCTGTCTAGTTGTTTCTTGCATACAGATATGGCAGAAGATAGGTCGATCTCAGTTGTCGTCGACTTATCCGTATCGCCAGATCTTGAACAGAAGCGCAGAAGCTTGTGTTTGCTTTGTCGCATCTTGCTCTTAAGCCGTCCCTCGACTTCAACGCACATGGTGATTGGCCGACCGCTGTGCTCGAACGCGAAGCCGGTATGAAAGATGTGCTTGCGGAACGTATTGTTGTCTATTTCGCTCTCGTTGAGCTCCCATTCGAGAGATCGGAACCCTTCCCCGTTTTTTGCCCGCTTTACTGTTCCCTTGAAAGTCCAACTGTCGACAAGCTCTCTCGTCACGCTGTGACGAGTTCCCATCCCCCCTATCTCGAAGAAGCCTCCAGCCCCAAGCGTGGGCTCGAAAGCGTTCTCCTTGACCTCGGAAGTCACGATTTTTGGCCCTGTAAGAGATTGAGGTCCAAAGAACTCCGTCAATTGAACCGCATAATCAGATTCCAGCGACGTTCGCACGTGTCTTGGTGCTCTTCTCCTTCCGGCTTCGGGTACGGAAGCATCTTGCTCACTTAGAGTGATGAGGACAGTGGCATTGCTGAGAATGTGACCCGGGGCATGGTTAATCGTCATGTCAATATAGACAATACCGGCAGGGTGCCTGTTGGGACCAAGCACACCCCATTGAGCCTTTCTCCAGTGGTATTTGCACTCGATTTCGACTTTGCCGACTGCTCCTGATCCCACGCAGAGGTGTGATCCACGGGCCAACTCCTGGTTGAAGCGTTCGAAATCTTGTCGGCCGCATCGACGGACTCGAAGCCCGGGGCGATAGGATTGACGTGTTCTGATTGCTTGATGCTCAATTGTCGCACCAGCCATGTTGAGAGTGTTCCTGAAGCCCTTTCAATACCAGGCACCTGACGCAAGACGTTGATGTTTCTGGCAAGTCAGGTAAGGCTCTGGGGGCGTGAACGGAACTGGCCGAGGAATAGACTCCCCCACTTTCAGGAGGCCTTCAATATTGTGCCACCACGAAGGCTGCACCCGCAATTAATGCACATACCCATGCCATTGGCGCCTATCATGGGTTGGAGACAATTTTCTTGTCCAGTCATTGTTTGAGGGGTAGCGGGCTCCGGCACGTTAACGAGATGTCATTGGTTTCACAAGGGGGCTGGGTCGCGAGCTGCAGGCTAGGTCATGCAAGCTTACGGCGTGGGTTGTTGACGCACAAGCTGACATTCTTTTCATGCCATTGAGTTGTTCTCATGAAAGAACACTGTTCGACTCGACTGCACTCGTTCAACTCCAAATACCCACGACTCTTGTTTCGTGGCGAGTACGTCGTCTCTGAAAGACAAGTGTTCTGCCATGTTCATAAATCGCGGAATCCCAAATCTGCCAGGAATATGGCTTCTTCCAAGTCTCGGTCAGGCAGGAGCTCGCAGACAGTCCTGAGCGGAGCTACGCTTTACGACGTCGAGGAAGAGGAGCCAGTCCAGCCACCAAGAGAATCGTCTATCCTTCGAAAGCAACGGCAATGGAAGGAAGTTACTCAACGAGATCGCAGATCACCTTTACCGCGCGAAGTCTTGGGCCAGAGTTTCCGCGAGTCTCTGAAGCAACTTGCTCATTCCAAGACATCACCTCACACTACAGACATCTCATATATCGAAAGCCTAGCGAGACAGGATGATACTGGCCAAAAAGCGCCGCTGAACAAGATCAAAAGCGGTAAACGCGTTACCCAAGGACCGAAGGGTAACGTTGCTTTCGTCGAAGACGTCGATTATGACGGCGAGTCCGACTCGCCATCGACAAAGTCAATGTCATCATTCGATAGTATTCATCCGAGTGATGCAGCTTCCGATAGGATTCTACCCACCATGACGCCGCAGCCTCAGCCGCAAGTCAGCGACTCTCTCCAAACCCCCAGACAGACCAAGCAGACCAGGCCCAACAACGGTACCTGTATTCATGTCAATCCCCAAAATCCTCAGGATGTCGCAATTCTCACAGAGCTTGATATGACTGATGATCTGGAGGAGGATCTGGAAGAATATTCAAGGCTTGTGAGAATGGGGCGATTCAAAGCTGCTAGAAGATGTTTCGAAGATCGACTGGTGCATTTCATCGATAATCTCTACATTTTAGATCAATACTGCTCGACTCTCTTGGCGATGTCGGACTTTCAAGCACTGTCCCGAATTGCGAAAGAATTTGCAATGGAACTTCGTCCCGGAATATACCTCATAAACATCTTGACGCGGTTTCTCCAAGCTGAAGTCCTGAGTGGGCTCGAGATACTGTCCAACGAAGCGAAAAACAAATATTCGTCATATATAGCTGACGACTTGGAAACGATTGCTGAAATGCGAAATCACTGGCCGGAGCTGGACTCCACGGAAGTAAGTGAAACCCAAATCATCTTTCCACACAGATATGAACGCAGAACCCAGACTGACTTGAATCAGCTCCAAGTGATGATGGACAGCTTCACCATCAAAGGCGGCATCAATTACTTCCGGCCTCTCGAGTGTGCCCCGGTCTATCTACATCTAAAGGCTGAAGGAAGGATTTGGGACTTCAAAGACCTGCTCGACAGACTCTTGCCCATGGAGTCAACTTCTGTTTGCACGACGCTAAGACTTTTACTCCAGAACTCTGGAGACGATAGCGACGATCATTTGACGATATTGCTCCAAAGAATCGAAGATGACTGGGTTAGTGCGGCAGACGAAGTCTCGTCATTTGCTCTGCTAGAAATATTCACGACACTTACTCTAGCCTCTATGAGCCGGCAGACGAGCATCCTCATGGTCAAAAAGATCTTTCAGTTTGCCCAAGGCCACGCCCAAGAAATCCTTGAAGCGAACCCAATCAACTCGAAAACTCGACCATATCTCTGCTGGATCGTGACCAAAGTTTTGGTAGAGCAATACAAAAATCCAAAAATAACTGGAATATTCGCTTTGGCATCCCATCTAAAACGACTGCCAGGAAAGAGCTGGCAACCTGAAGTGGCTCTGCCATTGAGCTGGATGGTGCTGTACGCGCCAGATGAGGACGAAGACCCAAAATGGCATCCTGATCCATCTACCACCGCTGGGCACGACAATGCTCTACGAACGGTCCTTGGAGTTGCGGAACAGCTCGGAGATACACCTCTGCAGGCAACTTGCCTTCAGCTCTTGATCTATCAGTGTCCTCAGCCACGGCCACTATTAGACAAGTTAGGTGACTTATGGCGCTCGAAGGGAGCATATCTGGGCTACATTCAAACCCGGATGTACTGTTTTATACCGGAAAGTCTCTCAACACCTGAGACTCGAGAGAGCATTCGCCAGGACATTCTCCTCGCTGGTGAGGTCTCCTCGGGAGGGCCAGTGTCACACGCGCGATCCATGATTCTGAGAGCTCTTTCTCCAGGCGACCCGAGCCACCTAGAAAAGAACTTGTATCTGGGACGAGCGTGGGAAGCCATCAATATCCCCGGGTATCTGAATATAGGGACACAGGGACAGAATGGAAGATCCAATGGAAGTGATATTACAAGAAACGTGCTCGCTGGTCCAACCACACTCTCACATCCCTGGACAGAGCCTTCAGATGTCGCTCATCAAGTCAAGAACCAAAGCCCAACTGGAAAGGCTCAGGGGAATCAGAAAAGCGAACACAATCACGAAAGATTAGGGAGCAGTGTTCCACTGTCCAGACAAGACCAAAACCGCGCTAAAGCAGAGCATACAACAATCAGAGGCAGCAGTGAAACGCTGTACGGCATCTCAAGCCCCCAACCAGTCAAGTTTCCACGGCCTAGGTTGCAGAAGATGCATGCCAGTGAAGGAAGATCGAACTTCCCCGCAAGATCCATACCGCCTCTTGTTCCGGCAACTAACTTTCCTGCTCGTTCTCACAAGGGCAAGGGGATCGCGAGAAATGTGGGTGGTGATGAATCTCAGCCTGGACGCGGAAAGGCAGAAAGCGATGAAGAAAGCAAACAAGCGAAACCTCGAAATGAAGCGCCAGAAATGTCGGACGCCGACAAGGAGAGAGGTCGCGAGCGACAAAAACTGAGTGATCGGTTCAGTTCCTTAAGAATCGGAGATTGACGGGAACCGCGATAATGATAATTAATGGACGGCTACTTGGTACGAAATCCGCTCCTAAGCAGTGAAATGGTCGAGCATTTCAGGCAGGATCAGAAGCGTGAGATCATACGACAATTTGTGAACCATGACAAGATCGACCTAGACTAGTTGCTTGACAGCAAGAAGGTACCAACTTTCTGCCAATCATATCAAGTAACTACCTTAATCATGTCAAGTCTCAAAATTCCCCGAATCAGCTGTGCTTCTGTGATAAATCTTACCCCTGTGTTCCAATATCTCATTTGGCTGCGTCAGTTCGATGGCATCGTTCCTTGAAAACAATTCCTTCCTTTGACCAAGAATATCTCGCAGCCAGAAGAGCTCGTACATGAGGATGAACCTGCTGACCATCGCCGATGCCATGTAGCGAGCCATGATCTTCAGGCTATCCGTTGCGGAGATGAAAACAAGACTGGAGAACAGCATACTTCCGTAAATCAGATGACATGTACCTAGCAGAGACGTGAAATACGACAAGGCCATTGAACAATATGTTTCATCCTCATCAATGAATGCTTTAGTCCAATCCTTCTCATCTAGAGGTTTGAATTGTCGCGAAAGTACTTCCCCGATGTACCCACGTCGAGTACCCCTGGTGATCCGTGTTCGAGCCCACAAGCTAGCAGCTGCGGAGACATGAGAACTGATACCGATGATACTCCAAAGGAACTCCAAATAAGTCAGCTGGGGAGCGAGCATACTGACAACCATCACGCCCAGCTGATTGCATAGTGTATACGTGTTAATGATGGCTGCAATGGCAGCAAGGAATTCGATAGCGAGAATTACCGTACTAAGCGGTACGGATGATCTTTCGGTGCGTAAACGGTAGTGCCGGGGCTTGACCAACTTCATCGGGTTCATGTACTCGAACGATCGGACGGGATGGATGGCAGGCGATCCAGCAGCTACGAGCAAAGCAATGAGTGGTCTTTGGCCAATAACACAGAGCGTCGAGGTCTCTTCCACGCTGTTACCGACTGTGGCGAGTATCGTTGGCATGAGGCCGAGGACGACTGCGGCAGCTGCCATGTTGCTCATGATGTACTCAGACGTGTTGCCCAGAATGCAGTTTGCTACGGGCTGAGCGAGCCTGTTCGTGTTGCCGCCTCCCGTAAACCAGTCGATGGTGGCATTTTCTCTCGGTATTGTCAAGTATCTCTCATACTCGGCGGAGCAGTTGCCCTCCATGATAGCTTCGAAGGTAGGCCCGAACTCAGGATACCAGTTTTTGAATTGGTCTTTGGCAACGTATACTGCGAGGCATGGCCAGTTGAGAAGGGTAACAAAAACGAAGGAAAGAAATAATCGAGACATCTTTAACATCGAGAGAAGTGATGCAGCAATTGCGATGGAGCCGGCTATTAGGAATTGTGGAATATCTGACTAGAACTTGTACAATTATGGCATGCAATTTATAGCAACAGAAGAAATGCTTCAAAACCCATGAAAGCTAGGACATACCGGGGCTTTTACTTATCACATAAGATACTGTAGCCTTGGGCCTCGGAAGAAAAACCTAACAACATCAACGTTGGACAAGCAGAAAAAATCCGGTTTGCAACAGCCTCTTGATGGATCATACAAAGAACACCGGACACAGAGCTGGACAAGAATGACATCCTTCGAGCCACCTTCTTTTCTAGGAAGCACCTAGGAGGTGGATTAGAAAGCGGCATTCTTCCGACAAGTAAGCAGCCTTGGAGGCACGAGACTTCACACTCGAGAGTCAAGTGGTGTTCTCGTATGTATTCCTCCCAGTGAGCATGCTCATTTTACCATCATCCAGTGGTACCAAGACATGTACCCGGAGTTGCGAAGGCTACACAACTGAAGCCTCATTCAGCCCGACTGATTACTGGAGTGATGAGAACCGATAAAACTCATCGAGGGCGGTAGTAAGCCTCTGAAATGGTGTGCGAGAGAGCGAGACTGGAATTAGGACTCTGCAGGTATTTATAGCAAAAAGTCCCAAGCTCAAGGGCTGGGTCGTTAGATATATTGACCAAGTAATTATGTAAATGCAGAGTCGAAACTGACTCGTCCTGTATTCGGTGGAGTAAAATCGTAAGAGCTCATCTTGATTGAACATATGCATGTCAATTGGTATCGCAAGTGTATGTCTGCATAGAATTATGACCGAGGCCCTGCTGTCTAGCTTCCGTTGGGATTAAGTTGTGCATTCCGAAGGGAGGGTTTTCGGGACCATTTGGGCAGATAAATCTGTCTTAATTCAGCTGGGGCAAGCATCCACTTTACCTGCCGAGACCTTTACGGATTAACATCCAATGGATTACTCAGCTCGGTCTCGGTACGAACGGCTACCCTGCAACTTGCCGGATATCCATACTGTGGCTTCAGGCTCGCGCTTTTTAAGGAACCAGCCAGACACACTTAGACTTTTCACACATTCGCGACTTTCCAATAATCCCTCCGCAACCTTCACTTCACCTTTCGCACAATTCGATACAAGCCACCGGGATGTTCATGAAATTTCCATATTCAAGGCGTGCAATCTTTCAACAGAGACGATTTGACCCCGACAACTTGTGAGAAACAGCGTGGTTGAAGGGCAGCTTTGAGCCACAGCCGTGCTCACACGTAGGCCTCGGAGAAGACGATCTAAGTCTCACGTCAACATCTACGGTGTCCAGCTTACTTTTCTCACCGTCCTCTCTTCGTTCCTACAAGATCATACCAAGCCGGAATGCCTTTTCCGTTGCCATCCATATCCTACCCACCCTCTAGGGACGGGTTTTGGAATCCTGTCACAGCAACCATCAACTGGTGCGAAGAGGTAGGCTTATTGCGCAATATACCAACAAGATCTATCAAACTTCTACCATCTGCTCGAACTTCACTGATTCTGACCTTTATTTATAGGACTACTATGTCACACCATACGTGGCCGAGTTTGTCAACACTTTCACAAATGCGATATTCGTCTATCTGGCGTTGGTTGGAATTTCCAGCTGCATTAGAAATAACCATCCTCGAGTATTTCTGGTGGCATATGTCGGGTACATGACCATCGGTATCGCAAGCGTGGTCTACCATACCTCATTGAAGTGTTCGTTGCCTCTGAAATCCTTGACCATGCTGTGCTACAGTACTGACCCTCGAGCAAGACTGGATGCAGCTATTTGATGAGCTGTCAATGATATACACCACATGCGTCCTCTTTTATGCGGTATTTTCTCACGGAAAATCCTTGTTCGGCCAGGCTCTTCTGGGCACCTTCATCACTGGCTTGGCCATTTTCATCACCGTGTACTACCACTATCTCGGAGATCCCGTCTTCCATCAAGTCATGTTCGGGATACTCACAGCCACTGTTGTGTTTCGAAGCATGTACATCATGGAGAAGGTACTCCGGCCCAAGTCCATGTCTCAGAGCAAGGCTGAGCTTCTCGACACGCAACTCCTCAAGAAGATGTGGACGCTGATTACTTGCGGTCTTGTCTCTATAGCCATTGGATTTTTGGCTTGGAACCTTGACAACATATTCTGTTCGCATCTTCGACAGTGGAGACAAAAACTCGGACTCCCCTGGGGCGTTCTCCTCGAGGGCCATGGATGGTGGTGAGTATCAATTGGCATTGGGTGGCAGAAAGTAGCTGATGACTGAACTAGGCACCTATTCACCGGTATTGCATGCTATATCAACGTCACTTACGGCGTCTGGCTACGCTATTGCAGAGACGGCAAGAAGGAAGAAGTCGTCTTGGCGTGGCCTTCGATGTTCGGTTCCATTCCCACTGTTGAGCGAGCGCAACATGGAGGACATCTGTCGAAGCCTGGATCTAAAACGGAGTGACCTTCAGTGCAACAACCGCTGGGACGAGGCTATCCAATACCAAGAACTGTGCCGGATAAGCGGAACCGAGATGGCGGCGATGGCTTTGGTTGTGTGTCACAGTGTGAATTTTGCCCACGGTCTGGCTCCAGAGAAAGAGGGCCGATAAGTGCTAGTGAGGATGTGTAGGACAGCGAAGCGGCTGAGGAATATTGTCTGCTGTGACACCCGTTGGCTGTCAAATCGCAGACATGTAAGATAGGACTGTGCGGTTACATTTTCCCGCCAAGTCAATAGGGGGCGAAGGACGAGAAGAGAAAGCCACTCAAAACACACCAAGGCTTGGTCGCTACATGAGTATTTAGGTGGATTTGAGAAGCAGGCTACCAATCATTTTCTGAACTGGAAAACCGGTGTGAGATGGATGCGACTGCATCCACCAGACAATTCCAACAAGAGAATACACTTCGTTTTTCGTCTTGGCGCATTGGTCTCGTTTCACGCAACTACACATTTGACCCTTGACTTGCCCCCCTTTCTCTTCTTATCCTTCATCTTTCAAAGGTACTCAATTCCCTAATAGATTTCCGCGCTTTACTTAACAAAGACTTGAACAGATGTCTGTCACTGAGATGAGCAGTCCTGACCAATAAGCTGCGGCGCCGACGCGCGCATCAGGTCTGCCAAGTGTTGTACAGACTCGAACCAACTGTCCAACACCCCTACGCTTGACTCCTTGAACCAATCAATTACTGTCCGGTAGAATGCAGCTGAGCATTGTTCACAGTGTTTCAATATGCGCTTCTAGAGACTGAGGGAGGGCGGTATTGACCCTTTCGCTTTTCAGGGAGTTGTAATCAATATCTCCATGCGTGCGGTTACACAGCATCAGGCTGTCAGACCAGTGAGCTGCCTCTACGGGCCGAAGAATTTTCGGGAAACTCGACCATCTGGTCTTTGTTTTCTCTCAGACGGAAAGGAGTGTCTCGATCCTGGATTTGCAAAGTTTCCTCTGCAGTCTCTCATTCTCTGCAACGGTAGCTGTTGAGCGACGACCGAGTGTTTCACGCCGTCAGTACACACCCGAACATTCTTTCCACGTCCAAGGTCAGCTTGCAAGTTCTGTGCGGCCAGCACCTTAAGGCGCATAGGGTCTGCCGTAGGCATGGCACGCCCATGGCCTTTTACATGTCCCTGGCGAAGTATCTTGGCTTTGCTATCAAGCGTTTCTCTTTCCATTGCATTATCTATCCCAGAAGATGCCAATGAGTACGGCTTCTCATTCAAATATCGCGATGTCGGAAGAGTAGTACCAGACTTCGTGATTAATCACGGTAAGAGAACATCTCCACTACCCTCACTTGTTTCGAAAGATTCCCAGAGATTGCACCTGGCAAAATCAGGTATCATGCCGATACTGACCTACTATCATACTAGCGCCACTGATATGGCTACACTCAGACGACCCATTCCGCCCGGCAGATATACTCGAACATGTCCGCCATACCACGCCGATGGTGCACATGGAGCCCATCAGAGAACTGCCACAACTCGATCTCGATAATTTGGCTATGCTAAACGACTACTGGAACAACGGCCCAGTTTCGCTAACTGCAAACGGCGACATCACCAGTCTTCCTACCTGGCTCTTTGGAGAGACGCCAGATGAGTCGGGCAAGCTCCACAATGCCACCTCTTGTGTTGTGATCACCGTCGATAGGGGCCCAGGAGATCTGGATGCCTTTTACTTCTACTTCTACTCGTACGATCAAGGGGCAAACATCACTCAGGTTCTACCACCTATGAATGGGTTGATAGAAGACACTGAGCATGGAATGCACTTCGGCGATCATGTTGGTGATTGGTCAGCTCTATGTTCAGATCCGTACCCACGAGATTGTACTCACCGACCTTTGTTTGGACAGGGAGCACAATATGATTCGGTTCCACGACGGGAAACCTACCGGTATCTATTACAGTCAACACTCTTCGGGCTCTGCCTACAAGTGGGATGATAAGGACGTATCAGTGGAAGATGGTCGGGTACGAACTTCCTCCGACCTCTTGGTTAAACCCAACCACGCAGCTAATGTTGTCTTAGCCTATAGTTTACAGCGCATGGGGTTCTCACGCGAACTGGGCATCTCCTGGGTGAGTAATACGCCATACTGTCCCATCTATCGACATTGTGTAATGACAGCATTCGATCAGCGATCACGTTCACGACTCGGTCTTGTTAGACTACTGTGACGCAGGTCAAATCTGGGACCCTGTATCTTCGGCATATTACTATAAATTCGATCCCGAAACGTCACTCTTAACGAGCATATTTCCACCCGGGGCGGAGGCTTCTATCAATCTTACATCCTTCTTGTACTATTCCGGCATATGGGGAGACTTCCAATACCCCGACGACCATCCACGTCAGAAGATCGTACCCTACTTTGGTCTGAAGCGTTACGTCTCCGGCCCGACGGGTCCGACTACGAAGCAGCTTGTAAGGAAAGGACTCTTTCCCGATCACCCTGAAAGAAAGAATCTTTTGCAGTGGGGAGTTGGAATATACATGTCGCTGTATCCATGCTGTTTTAGGGGATGGAGAGCCTGGGTTTCTGGCATCGCCTTCATTGGGTTGTTGGTGTGCATTGTCCTTGGGATCAAACGCTCTTTGAAGTGGGCTAGGGCGCGGAAAGAGGGATTTAAGAAGATCCGCAACGAGGAAAGCATTCCGTTGCGGGAATTGGACTATTTAGATGACAGAGCTTCGAATCACCGGGATTGAGGGAAAGGTTTTAGAGCGTCTTCGATGTAAAACAAATCTCTGAGGACATGCTGACGAAATCAGGCGAAAGTAGTACTCGGCTCCGAGGTCGTATAGCCTTAGTATTTTGTAACATAATTAGATCGAGTCTGTAGTACATGTGGGCATAAAACAGAGCTGCGCCTTTTTGTCTCTATCATTAGATCTTGGGTTCCTCGAGTTCTGATACCCTCTTGCGCCCCTAGGCTTTTTCATGCTAGCTTCGGCATTCTCTTGCGACCCAGCGAATTATGCTGATGTCGCCTGCTGATGTACAACGGGAAATTCTGAGAAAGAAATCCTGGATTTGAAGGTGGGAAGTCTTGCAACATGAAGTTTGGGAAGCCTATATCTTCGATATCGGGTCTCGGTTTGAGGATCAAGACTCTGTTCGGTCTTTTGGGCCTTGGAAACGTGCAAGATTGTCCACAGCCGCCTAAGCATACGGGACGGGTCCGTAGGTGAGTAAAGTAGACACATACTTCAAGCATACATTGACTTTCGCGCAGAAGTTCATGAGCCTGTAGGCAGCATCGCCTCGTCGACGAGCCACGATGCCAAGCATGCGGTGTTGAAGCTTAACAGCCCGGGACTCATCACCACAGTCAAGGCTCACGTCTTTGAAGACCATTTCATTTGATCTGAAACGTTCACTCCGGACATCTTGGACAATCTTCTCCCCAACGCTCATGGTCCAAGCTGGCATACTAAGGCACTGTGGCGCTCGACTAAGACCGTACGCAGTTAGTGAGAAGGTCCAGCCCGTCTAGGCGGTGCGCCTAAACTTGTGTTGAGGCTGCAAGACACTGTCAGCGTCTAGCCCATGTCGGGATAAGCGCCAATCCCGCCCCAAGGGATTGAGCTACCGGCTCCCAAGGGGGGGAATCCGAGGAAGGAGAGGAGAAGAATGAATACAATCACAGAGCCTCCCTTTCACTTCAACTCGTAATGATCTCATAGTCTGTGCACTCAACAACAAACAACATCCCATCGGCGAGCGAACACGACTCGAGCAAAGCTTCCCCGGAATATCAAACTCGAAGAGTCGACCCTATTGTATGCTAGACTACAGTCCAATACGGAGGCAAGATGTCCGTATCAGCTTATCTCGCAGCCTTCGGAAAGGCGTCGCCAGCGACGTACGCCCTCGGCAGCGGACTCCTCGTCACATCATCACTCTTCTTTGGAAACATCGGGCTGTCTCTCACTGGGCCTCTTCCTATCATCAGAGATCAACTTGGCGCGTGCACTCTGAGTTCAAAGCAGAAGATCAAAGTATGGAGACTCTTCTTCGACGAAGCCTCTGTGAGTGAAACCCTTCCTCATCATCAGCGAGATGAATATTCGCCGTCATAAGAGGAGTGATGAGTGCTGACGCCGTGCACCAGAGATACATCATCGGCGGCACCGGCGTGACAGCGACGCTTCACCTGGCCGCCTTCGCACTGGGCGAATCGCCCGTATCCCGCAGGCTCGCCGTCATGTCGGCGCTCTGTAGCATCTGCATCCTGCCGTACACGCTCGTCGTCATCATGCCCACTAACAACAGCCTCATCGCCCTGGATGACAAGGTGGCTCTATCGGAGCTGGACAGGAAAAAGGTCGGGTGGCTGATTGAGAAGTGGGATCGGCTGCACAAGATCCGCTTCTTGATGTACGGATGTGCGTGGGCTTTGAGTCTTGCCGCGTTTACGTCTTCTTTGTGAGCTGGACTTTTGGAGGAGTGACGAGATGCTAAGGATAATTACCTAGTTGATCGTTGCGTTTCTTTTGTCTTCGTTGTTTCCGGATGGGTCATAGGGTTGATAATTGGCGATGGCTCAGCCTAATGTTCCAGATATAATGTTAAATTGGATATGAGTAAACACAATGAACCTGGTAATTACAGACTGACTAGGGCGCGCCATATCGCCCGCAAGATCAGAATGAGGCTAAAGTATCGGCTATGACTTGCAAAGACGGAAAAGTGTGACAAGGAACCCTGACGACTGCTGTTGACATGGTCAAATATATGAGTTCATGACAAATTCGTAGTCCAATCATGGTTACTTAAGCTTGATAATAAGCAAGAATCCGTAGCCTATCAAGTACGAGGTGCATGTGATGAAACCACAAGGTCTCATGGCAAGAAAGCTTCCACGGATTATAGACCCGATGTGACCTGGAACACGTGCTTCGTCTCTCACGAAGTTTTGGGAGAAAGAAACTTTGCTCCAGCTTCTGGAGAGAGCCCGAGTCCCGGACTCCGTGGAAAGTTTGGCGGCAACTGCACATGACCACTTTATAAGCCGATCACTGCTGGTCGAAGATACCATGTAGATCCGACAATTGTTTCCCCGGCATGTTGTGCCGTGATCTATATCCCAGTAATCTGCCATTTGCCAATCAGATTTGAAGAAGTTCTTGACCAGAAGTATGCACCAATCATTAGCATCGTTATCCTAGTATCATGTACTCGTGTCCTGGTAGCTGTTGTGACTTAGGACTCGCCGGCCAGCAGGCTTTTGGCAACAATTGGGAGTGTGTACATTTGATGGCTTTTATTCGAGACTAAGACTAAGTATTCAACGTTGAACTGCATGAATTATTCACGTACAGAGACGGGATGAGATAGCTGTTGACTGAAAAGAAAATATTTCTTCTGTTTGACGACCCCGATGCCATCATCCCCCTCCAATCCCGGAAGATGTGAGTCTATGTGGCCAATCCATGCGCCGCTGCCCAACCAAACTCCAAATAGACTTTACTGAATCATTTCCAGAAGCAGATAGGCCCAGCGCTTATTGAAGCAGGCTCTACCTTCCCCCCTCTCGTCTCAACTCTACGACAATTCAGGGATCCTGGTGCCGAACATGCGGTCACCCGACATCATGTCAGATAATCCCGTTGCTGTGGTCCCAAATAATGGCCCCCCAAACTCTGTCATGGAAGTGTCATAGAACCGAAGGGGGAGAGTTCAGCCGTTGAAACGGTCCTGTTATCAGGTCTCTAAGCCATCCGAGTGCCATCGCAGTCGATGATTGAAATATGAAAGAAAACGTCAAAAATTCTACATGGCCAAGATCGCCACCGTGAACGTCGCGATGAGAACCGCGAGTCTGAGTCCAGCACCGGAGATACTCTCAGCTGCGGCACTCTTGCCAGCACCAGGCAAGCCGGTGTTGTTCTGGCTCTGTCTGAACAGGGGATCCATCGTAGCATTCTTCGTGACAGGCACCTGAGAGCCCGCAACGCAAAATTGCGTGGGGTTGCTCCATGTGGCGTCGACGACGCGCTTCCACGCGTTATCGGGCTTGAAGAGCATCTCGCGGCTGTAGAAGATGCGGCAGTTGGCCGGCTCCCAGAGGAATTGCAGCGGCGTCCTGGCGTCGGACATACTATAGGCGTTCTTTGCGTTGATGGCACCGGCGCTCTTGGGCGTGGTCGCGCGCTTGATGGCGTAGCCCTTTGCAAGCTCGCCGAGCTCGCCGTTCATGATTTCTTCCTTCTTGTCCTTGGGGGTGAGGGCGATGATGGCCTTGGCGTCGGTGGTCATGTCGTTGAAGGCGAAGACCTGGGCGCCTTCGACACCAGCGATGGACTGCATGATACCAGATTGGGGGCGGCCGCCGATGACGGTGGTCTTGATGCCCATTTGAAGGATCATAAGATAGGAGAAGATCGTGCAGGTTGAGCCGCAGGTACCATCAGTGAAGAGGACCACGTTCTCAGGGTCGAAGACGCGAGGGGGCGGGTTAGCTTTGCTGCCGACGCCGGTGAGGTTGAAGGTGGGGTCGGTCTGGTTGAGTGGTGCCTGCTGGTATGCAGTGAAGGTGTCACCGTTGAGCGAGACCGGTGCCAAGATCTGGTCAACGGTCGTGAAGGCGGCTTCATCGGGCGTGTAGACGCCTCCAGGGAGCAGGTTGCTGACGATGGAGCTGCCACCTAGAGCCTCAAGGGCATCCTTTTCCTCGGGTGTGGTAGGCGTGAAGTTGGCAGGAATGGCAGCGGAGAGACGAGCAAGAGTAGTGAGACCTTCGGACAGACGCAAGTTGTTGGCCTGGAAGCGATTGACCTCGGGGAACAGCTATCATGAAGGTTAGCGAGGGAAAAGTGACAGGGGGACAGGGGGACAAACCTGAGCGAAGAGCTCGTAACCAGCAACGACGAAACCACCGCCGTTGGCAGCGACATCAATAACGAGACGCTTCTTCCCGGCGTCCTTGCTCTTCTTTAAGAACGTGGCGACGGTGCTCTGGAAGTTGGTCAAGTACTCAGTAGCGTCAATGGAGTCGGGAGGAGCGAAAGACGAAACAGCGAGCACGGCAACATCATCATATCCCGTCCCGTTGAGGAAGTAACCGGACGTGGTGTTGGCACCGCTATCACGGACAATCGGGAAGGGGTATCCCTCGATTGTCGGCTTAGGAGGGGGCGGCGGGCCTGAAGTCTTTGGCGGCGTCGGCGTCGTTTGGTTAGGCTTCATGCCAGGCTGCGACGGCTGGGGCTTGGCGGGCGAGTCGGGGTTGCAGAACTTGTTGTAGTAGTCCTCGCCGCTGTTGACGCCAGTGAAGTTTGCGCCGGTGCGGATGAGAGCGAAGCTGTCCTCGGAGCGCTCCTCGCCGTTGTCGTAGGTGATTGTCACCTTGGGGCCCTGGAAAGCGAGGGAGGCGGCGACGACGATGAAGCTCTCCTTCGACGCGTACGACTTGAAGTTGGCGTTCCATTGAGAGTCGGGGTCCTGGTAACCGCTGAACTTCAGGTTCAGGTCTGCGATCATGGTGGCAGCATCTCTGCCGTTGATCCTGACGATGGCGGGGGCGGTGGAGTTGCCATCAAGCTGGGCTATTGTGGAAAATCAGTGCTTGATCAATCATATTGATTGAAGGGCTAGCGTTGGGACTTACCAAGATGGTACAGCTTAGGCACTTCAATACCATCGCGCGAGACCGACACAATATCGGCAGCGAGGTTGTTGCGGAAGCTGAAGCCCTTGAACACATCACCACGGAAGGCAAAGTGACCGTCGTGAGCCGAAGCAATCAGCTGGAAAATGGCAAGCTGGAACTCGTATTCGCTCTTGTACGAGCCGGCCTCTGCCTTCTTCTCAATCTCATCCAGGCCGCCCTCGATATCGGTAGGCGGTAACATATACGACGCCGGCGGGTTCTTGAGCCATGACAGCGTGGATTGCCATTGAACGTAGGCTTTCAAACTCTTGATCAGGTCCTTGGCCGGGCCCTTCTTGTTCGGCACCGTCTGGAGGCAGTCAAAGGCCAACTGAGCTGGCACTTGGGGTGTTGCTATTGAATGGGGCAAACTTTGTTAGCGGATATGCTTTTGTGTTTGCTTTACACCATGACGTCCAACACTTTTGTAGAGGATCTTGGGGAATCTCCAGCGTTCCCCGCCGTAATATTTGCAATCTTCCTCCCCCAACATAGGTAGCTGGCATGCTCTTACAACAACGTACCTTTCGGGCTCGCCATGAGAAATTGTTGGACCTTGGGCTGAATCTGAGCACATGCCTCGGCATTGCCGCCAGGAACCGTTCCGTTGGGAGCGCTGGGCGTTGTCGGCGTTCCGCTGCTTGTGGGAGTTGGCGTTTGTCCCGGAGCCTGGGGAGCCGGCGCCGCCAACACAACGGCGGCCGAGGCCAAAGTCCACCAAGTGAATCTCATCTTGATCGTCTGCTCGCAAGGTCTTTTGTTTCCCGTTTTCTTCTCTGCGCAAACTTCCGCGTCTCCTTCGAACTATCACACCTCCTCAAAGAATAGAAAAGAAACAGATAGCGCAGCTATCGGCGAGGCCAGCTCAAAGTCTCGAGACCGAGACGGGCACTGAAAGGAAGGGAAATAATGGGGCTGGAAGCAATTCGCCGAAGCCTGAGAAAAGAGACTCAAGAACGTCCACGACCGGCGGGATCGACGAGCATATGGGGTTTTAAGAGTTGCATTGTCCTCTTCCCTCCTTTGCCTTCTGGGGCCAGTTTCGGTGGTCGAAAGGTAACTCACGAAATAGGCCGGGTCCCGCTCATTCGCTCTCGTTATTCCCTTGGCGGCGGGCGTTCTGTGTCTCTTGCGGCGCGCTGTTACCCCCATGCCCACACACGTCCCAAGTTTGTGCTCCCAAATCATGAAGCCATCATGAAACACGACAACCCTCACATCTTCAGATAAGCATCCGCGCATCCTGGGTGCCGGACGCTGCAAGATTTAAACTCGGACATCATGCAAGGGCACCCCCCTCTACGACCCTCTTACTACTTGGGAATAGGCCAGATCTGTGCACCAAGGTAAATACAGAAGAGGCTTAGGGCAGCCCCCTCCCGAGGCTAGACAGGCAGAGTGCGGCGACATTTCAGAGGGTAAGGAAAGGGCCTCATTCTGTTGCTTGGCGGTTGATTGGGTTGTTGTTTCGGTGCAAATCGGGAGAATTCAGTCTCTGTCTGAAGTTTGAAGACAGGCCATCCTCGACAACACACACGATACAAGATATCGATGAGTGATACTCGCGCCGGCTATCTACCGGGCTGGGCGTATGAGGCTTAAAGACTAAGTAGATCAACTGTGTTTTGTGCTGCGGCCTCTTTTCCGTGCTTTTCCTCCGTCTCTTCCATTCTTCCCGTGTTTCCCCCCTCATCCCACCCTCCTTCATCTCGCCAGAGCCTCATTGTCACTGCCCTGAGATACTCACATCACATCCGTACCAATCCAACCGCTTACAT